TAAGGAATTTTATATCATTTTGCATTAAAGGAAGGCACATTTGATCCTTTAAAAAATAAAACAAGATGGTCATTTTCGCATTATTGTGGTAATGATTTCAAGAAGGGATACAAACTGGATAGATAACAAGTCGATACCCCAAACACCCTTCACCACGGCTTTAAATGATTACATTAATTGCCCATCTTATGGACACAAATGCTGAACCTCTTAAGGCAGGAAATGATTGGGAAAATGTGTGGATTTATAACAATTGGCCAACAGTTGCTGGAGTAATGGAATTAATCAGGGGCACATTTAGATCAAGGCAAGAAACTCAACAAGGCATTATCAGTGCTGTCAAATAGCATGAAAATTGTGGGCTGTGATAAATGATTAAAATCCCAGCAGGAGGCAAACAAAGCTTTAGCCCGTACAACGATGATAGCAAATATATTATTCCAAGGGCAAAGTTGCAAAAGGAACAACATAAAACATTAACTATCATATAGTCTAATTCTTAATTCAAAACATCATGTAACTGAGATTGCCTGTGTTTTGCAAAATCTGTAGGTCTTTTGCTATTTATGTTTTAACACAATGTTAAGGGGGAGGCTAAGTTAATTAGTACTCTAGCTGGGTTAAAAGAACAACAAATACTGACAAAAACATTCGTCCAATTCATGCATGACTGGTCGTGCACACCAACACCCACGCCACCACAACGCACTGCCACAGTAACAGAATACAGTTGAGTCATTTACTGTGACTGATGGTAGAAAAACAGCAGAAACCACTGCTTTGGTTCAGTCTTGGATGTATTGTTTCCCACAATGCAATGCGGCCCTTTCACTGCGACTGCGATAAGGGAATAACTGGACCAGTCGGATACCGTGGAACATTCAAAGATTGAATAGCAGGATTTGGTTGCCTAGTAACCTTGGCAGGAGCCAGTGATGATCTGGTAATTTTCAAAGTGCTTTTGTGTTATCTCGTTTTCTGACACAATTTCTGCCTGTTGAAGTTCAAAAGAAAATATTCGAAGATTTTATAAAAATGTGGACTACAGTGATGAGCCAGTGGTTACTTACCATGAAGGCGTAAAGGTGGTTATTGTCTAATCTGTTCAAAATGACCCATGTACAATAAGAGCTTAATCATGATGTTATGTATATAATTCTTCTTCTTCGTTGAATGTGCATAAATGTCATACAGAGGTCGAGACAAAAGATAACATACCTACACTTCTGTTAGCCCCTAATGGTTTTAATGGATTACGCACAATTACTGAGCCTTAGGTGAAGGAGTTGCTCAGCATTCTAATTAAAATTGGTACTTAGATGAAGGACAATCAGTGTGTACTTTTCTTAATTGAAAATGCAAATAGAACAAAGCTGTACAAATGTGAGACGCCTATTAAGTACAAGTGGAGGGAAAAAAAAAAATGGAGACTGCCATCTCGTTCTGCAAGTTAGGAGATCAACCACAGGTGATTCAAACACACATTAGAGAAGAGTGGGATGGCTAAACAAAATTATATTCAAGAGGCTAACGGGCACCATGGTTAGCGTCAAGGGGAAGCTCTTCAGTATTTATTGAAATCCCCTTTACACACCTTACTGTGATTGTATTTTATTAACAGATGACAAAAAGGAAAAGGCATGTTCTTTTCTCCAATAAAAAGTTAATTACTTTCACAACTGAGAAAATATTTTAAAGATATAGTTTAAACTATTCTAATCTGAAATTAATCTACTAAATAAAAAGTTAATAAGGGCATGTTATAATTTGACTGAAACTGAGAAGTCTATCATCTTCATTCTACCCAATGTTTAGTAGTCTCCCACCTCAATTTCCTGACATATTTTGCCCTTTGATAACAATGAATTGCTTAGCCCCTGAACAGCGTGAGCCTCACTGGCTGTGTACAGGCTGCAGAGAAAGAAATCAGTTCGGCATCTTACTGTGCAACATGATGCTCAGAAAGCTTTCCACACACTGGCCTGAGCTGCCAAGCGAGTTAAATATATAGCTTAAAAAACATCTAACCTTGTCCATTGGTTCCTCTTCCAGCCTTTAGCAGTGCACCAAGACGTCAGGGTCAATATTGACAGCAACTCAACAGATTTATTACTGAGCATGCACTGACTCCTAAATATACATGTATTCTCAGAGAGACAGTAATTGCTTCAGTATCAGATTTAAAAGGCTCTTAATGGGTTTAACAACACAGGCCTATCATTTTATTGTCACCAATAAGTAGGCTTGTCATAGATACATGCTCATTATGCTACTGCACTGCCATAAAAAAGGCATTATAAAATCACTTGATAGGAGGATAACAAAAAGTGCGCAGGCAGTTATATGTGATACACACCTAATGAATATCATATACACATTTGAAAGATATACTCATGTTATATTAAGATGCGTGTATCCATTATTAGAAAGTGAGAGACCTCCCTTTTCAGCCGGTACATTTTCAAAAAGTAAGATATAAAAAAACACTAACCACAGAGAGTAAGAAATACATGCACTGAAACACACTGAACTTTAAATTAACATTTGGAAATCCTGTTGGATATAATTCGTCAGACTACAGCACAATTGAATGCCCCACAAGAGAGAACCATTTAGTTGATCTCTGGATGACAAGTGTTTGAAAGGACAATGTGTTATTAGAGCATGACATAAAAAAGGAGTGACATGGAAAATCTTCAAAGACTAGAGTGACATGACACAGTAGTCTGAAACTATCTGGTTTTAGTGCTGGAAAATAAAATGACATTTATAATGGATTTATTCACGTTCAGAAGCAGATGCCGAGCTTTCCTTTCCCCAAATTTGAAAATCTGTGTCAGGGTCTGGACTGGGTCTTGGGTGAGTTAATTGACAAAGACATTATTTTCTTAAATAGGCAACTTAAAAAAACATTTCTCATCGCGTCACACCAATTAAAAGGCTTTTTATACTGTGTCCATGTTTAAAAATTAATCCAAACAATTATTTCTAAAATCATTAGACATTGCAGAAGCTGTTTGTGTTCATAACTTTTCTGATTCCTCTGAAGTATGGCAGGTGCATCCTGGAAGCTTGCGATATGGGGAAATTTAAATCTTGCTTTTAACTTGTCATGTCATTTCCTCTCCCTCTCTTGACTATAATTCCTGCCACTCTATATGAGAGTAGTAATGCCACAAAAACAATCTTGAAAACGCACCTGGATAGTGAACAAAAACAAACACTTATGTGTCTCAGTCAAATTAAAAGCAGCCTATGTCGTCTCTAAACCCAATAAGAATTGTTTCATCCTATTACCTCTGCAAAAAAGACCCTGAGCAGTTGATTCTGTGTGCACAATGGTTCGAGCTGACAGTTCACTGTTGAATCTACCCGATTAAGCTTGCATCTCATGAAGCAGTTTTGTAAGCATTAGTATTCATGTCACTACCTTATACGTCACAACTCCAGCAGACGTCACAGAGACACATTTGTGGCATTGATGCTGCCAGAGTGACTAGCTTTTTAATCCAATTTAGAAGAAAATGTAGCAATTTATTTTCTTACCCTGGCACTAGTTTGCATTAATTTATGATATTATGCATCATTGGCAACATGGCCCCGTCATCTGGGTTAAACATGACGCAAAACACTGTTATGAAACTCAATGAATGCATGTGCCATTTACCGCTTTAAACCAAATTTGAGTGGTAATTCGAAGATATAGTCTCATTGTGAGAAAATATACTTTTGCCATTTAGTCAGAGACATTTATATTCAGCAGAAGACTATATCTCACATCTAGCAACCGTGGAATAATTGAAAATGTGCTTTGTGAAACGCAGTTAGATTTACGAGTGACCCTTCGCTACCCATTTATTTTCAGAAGGCGCCTTTGTTTTATGGTTTTCACACACAGCTTTTCTCCCTGCTGCTCTCTAAATCAAGATGTGTCTATATGGGAGGTGTGAAGCTGTTTCTGTGTTGGAGGGGCTTAGAGGGAGATATAGATGCACACATATTTAATACACACACACATACAGGGAAGAGATGAGCGATCATATTCCTATATATGTGGGTACCCAGACGGATAGAATGACAGTAGGTATAACACAGATATCCCAGAGAAAGCAGGACATCCTCACTTGGTTTTTGGCCGTACTGGTTGAGGAAAACATTTTTTGTAAAGTACTTCAAACTTTGAGTCTATTTATAATATATGCTATCTAAAAATGATATTCAGAGGAATATAAACCATTCCCAATTCAAGGTAAAATTTAAATTCATGATTATAAAACACATGGCCTTAAACCAGTAAAATGCCTGTTTCACATTTCCGCTCCCGTCCTTGAGGTACAAAATGGATTTTCTTTTTTATCTACTTCCTCCTTTGAGGGATGGCATCTGCTGACTATATTATGTTGCTTAACTGCTATGGGTTCTATGGAAGACTATTAGCTTTGTGTGGTTGGGTTCAAAAGTGAAACAGCGGTTTTATTGTATTGATTTCTTTATCGTACACACATTATAGTGGTCAAAATAATTCATAAATACATTATTGTGATATCACCCTCTTACCCCCAAATTATTTAGTAGGAAGTGAGGAAATGTTTTACATCACTTTATCTAATGGCTATTATAAGGACAAAATCAATATTTTATTTAAGAATATCACAGTTGCGATTGTAGTTAGTTTAGACTCTAGTTTAGACTCTAAACTAATTACAATCTCTAAACTTTAGAGATGAATTTGCATATTTTTCGTGCTCATTCCAGATGATTTTCAGGAGGTGCTTTAGTTTAAAAATGGCTTTAACTAAGGATTTCGAAATCATGCTGTATGAGGTATATGGAGATGCATATCTACTCCAGCGATTTTGAAATGAAAGTCTACATAATGCATGAAAGCTGTTAAAACCAAAGCTGAGATTGTGAATAGACTGATAGATATGTGACAGTTTACATGTTCCTGGCAGACATCAGGAGTGAAAGCAAGTCATTAGGTAGTTTGAAATTGATACCTCAACTATGGTGATTTTGGCTGCCTTGCACATTGGTTGATTGAAGTTCCTGGCCGTTTTCCTGAGGGGAAAGAGCAAGAAAGAGGTGATTTAAAAAACAATTAGAAGTAATACAAAGAAAACAAAGGAGATAAGCAAGTAAACACAAGAATGTTCAGTGTAACATCCAATAATGAATATTCAGTGTTAGTTTACTGGACGAGGTTGCTACCTTGTGGAGAAAGGCTGTACTACATCTTCTGATTTCAATCATTCTCACAAATCAGGTTGGTGCAAATGACCTCATTGGTGCTTGACAAAGGGTCAAAACTACATTTTTGATTGTCTTATAAATAAACACAATATTATAGAATATTCATGAACAGGTAATATGAGTGATATAGAGTGTATTTGAGTGTTATCTGACAGTGGGCAGCACCCATGAACATGGTTAAACTGGAACTAAATGAGTATTATCAGTGATGTAACAGTTTCCTTAAATTGGTTAATAAATAAATACTACGATTTTATCAAACATTTAGAACAACCAAATAAAACCATTTAGCTAAAACAGACAAAAAATGTGCTGATCAGAATCATCCCCTGCAGTATATCCCTATGGTGAACATTAGAATGATTGATTTCCCATTGATATGGCCATCTTAGAAAAACATATTCAACCTTTCTTTAATAATAATACTAATACTAATAATAATAATAATAATAATGAGTTTCATTTATAAAGCACTTCATATTTGACTTCAAATCCCGTAGTGCTACAAGCAGTGAGCATGAACAGTATAAAAACATTACACAATACGGTAAAATTAATAAAAAGCAATAAAAAATAAAAATAAAAATAAAATAAAAGGGGGGTAATAAATAAATAAATAAGAGGTCTAGGGAAAGGCTCTATTGAACAGATGGGTTTGTGGTGCTCTCATGTGGTCGGGGAGAGCGTTCCACAGACTGGGGGCAGCTGAGCAGAAGGCCCGGTCTCCCATAGTACGGAGCTTAGTCCTGGGGGGTTTGAGGAGGTTGGAGTTGCTGGAGCGGGTGGTCCGCAAGGAGGTATGGGGGGTGAGGAGTTCCTTAAGGTAGGGAGGGGCAGTTCCATGGATACACTGGTGGGTGAGGACGGAGACCTTGAATTCGATCCACGGGGAGCCAGTGTAGTGCTTTAAGGATGGGGGTGACGTGATCGTAATTGCGCACCCTCATCAGGATCCTAGCAGCGCTGTTCTGAATGTATTGGAGCCTCTGGATGCTTTTGTTAGGGATCCTGATGAGGAGTGCATTGCAGTAGTCCAGCCTGGAGGAGACAAAGGCGTGGACTAGCTTTTCGGCATCAGACAGAGTGAGTGTGGGGCGGAGTTTGGCGATGTTCCTGAGGTGATAAAAGGAGTTCTTGCACAGCTGTTTAATGTGAGCCTCAAAGGTGGGATGGGCGTCCATTTTCACACCCAGGTTGGTGACTGTTGAGGAGAGGGTAATGTCCTGGCCGGAGAAGGTGATGGTGGTGATGGTGGATGACCGAACCTGGTGTGGGGTGCCAACTATAATGGCTTCGGTCTTGGAGCTGTTGAGTTTCAGGAAGTTTTGCTTCATCCACGCCTGTATCTCCTCCAGGCAGGCAGTGAGTGTGGGTGAAGGCAGGGTTGCAAAGGAGGTAGGGTTGATCCTGAGGTACAGTTGGGTGTCATCAGCGTAACAATGGAAC